ACCCCCGTGCCATGGGCAGGGACACCTCACACTAAACCATGGCACCCAAGGCTCTGTCCAACCTGGCCTTGAACACTGCCAGGGATGGAGCATTCACAACCTCCCTGGGCAACCCATTCCAGTGCCTCACCACCCTAACAGGAAAGAATTTCTTCCTTATATCCAATCTAAACTTTCCCTGTTTCAGTTTTAACCCATTACCCCTTGTCCTATCACTACAGTCCCTAATGAAGAGTCCCTCCCCAGCATCCCTATAGGCCCCCTTCAGACACTGGAAGCTGCTCTGAGGTCTCCACGCAGCTTCTCTTCTCCAGGCTGAACAGCCCCAACTCTCTCAGCATTCACATTCACCTCATGGATCTCCTGCAGGACAGTGATTGTAGACAAGGTCCAGGGTCTCAGCCCACAACCAGAATGGCCCCTGCACAAGGCAAGCCTGTTGTGAAGCACTTTTGTGCTGGGCAGACAGCCCCCAGGCCTCCCATGTATCCCCATCACCTCCAGAGCTGCAGCACCAGTGTCAGGGACCGCACAGCTCATGACAGTGGAAGGTGCCACTGCCCGTGGCAGGGAGTTGGAACTGGATGAGCTTTAGGGTCCCTTCCAACACAAACCAGTCTGGGATTCTACGGTCCTATGATCATGCCCTGACATGGACCATCTCCCATGGGGTAAGCAGCAGCTCCTTGGGCATCCACACATCTATGCACATGTCCAGCAATCCTCCATTCAGTTATTCTAGGGGTCAAGCTCAATAAGAGCTCAGCGTGCCCATCACTGGGTTATGGCAGCCAACCAGCAGGCTCTGTCTGGTACATGGTGCAGCTCATTCACACCCTGTTTGTACAACCCCTGTGACACATCCCAGCAGCACCCACACTGGGGTCTGGTGCTGCCCTCTTTGATACTCCCATGTCTTTCCCAGCAGATCCCTCCCTCTCCCCTTGCTGCAGGGAGATGCAGGTTTCCTGGGGACAGCACCTAAAGGAGGCTCCACGCTGCTCCACATCCACAGGGTCTCCCTGCACACAGTGCAGCCCATGGCGAGGAGGGATGGTGGAGGATGCGGAGCAGGGAAGATGCTCACGGTGCCCTCATGCTGTCTCATCAGGCAGGCAGCCCCAGGCCAGGTGGTTGGGCTCCTTCCTTGGGCTTCATTCAGCAAAAGCAGCTTGTGCTGTTTCTCCTTCTCCCTGGGGTGGGCTGCTCATTTTTGCCCTGTAAGACAATGCCCTCTTTCAAAAACAAAGAAATTATAAAGTACATATGAACATATGGTAACATATATTCTGGGCTGCCTATGTGGCCAATTTTCTGTATGTTACCATATGGTGCCGCGTATTTAGCAAAAATATAACTTGACTGTTTCTCTTTCCATATGGGGATTCTTTTGCCTTAATTAATAACATTGAGCAAAAACTCTTTCTAAGGTTTCCAAGATTTCTGCAAGGGAATATCTCATGACAGACACATGCTCCGGAAGGCTTTCCTCCTTGTTTGTCTATAGCCTTCTGTCCTCATCCTCTTCCGCGCGCTCCAAGGGCATCTGTGGATACATCTACCCGTGGGACCACAGGGAGGGAGATGCTGCACTCATCAGCTCCCATGGGAACCTCTGTCCCCTCCTTGGACCTGACCTTCAGCTGGATCCCTCCAACTCATCCAAGAGCTTTGAGGAGCCGAGTTAAGGAGCACGGGATCAATGGGGAGGCCGCTGGTGCAGTATTCACAGCCACACAGGGACTGCTGCCTTCAAAGGAGAGGGAAGCAGAGCACACTTCAGCTCTCCAATTAAGCCTCTCAAGCGCCAGTTATCTCATAGCAGAGCAGAATGTGTCCAAGTGTCCTCTCAGGACCAGCCTGCAGCCAACGGCAGCGAGATGAAACCAGAGCTGGCCCTGCCGAGGTGGGATGGGATGGGATGGGAAGGGTCAGACACGGCTCCAGCTGCCAGGCTCCATTCTGCTCTCCCACCCAAAGCCTGTCAATGGACAAGTCTAAAGACAAACCCAGATGTGCCCCTTGACCCCACAGGGATGTCCCTGCCCCATAGGCAGGCGAAGGCAGTGGGCAGAGGGGAGATGGATGGGGATGGAGAGTGGAGACAGCAGCAGAGATGCTGGATGGGGATGGGGAGTGGGGACAGCAGCAGAGATGCTGGATTCCCACCTCTCCCAATGGCCAGGGTCTCAATGGGGAAGCTGATCCCTTTCCTCCTCCTGCACACACAGCGGGGTGGGAAGGGACATGGGCAGTGCCTGGGGTGGCCCAGCTTTGCTGTGGGATGAGCTTGTTCCTCCTGCTCAGCAGCAGCACGTCTCAGCCAGCAACTGCTCCCCATGGGGCTGTCCCCACTCCCTGCCTCCCAGCAGCACACAGGCCCCATGCGATGCTTTGCTCGAGTGGTCTCAGCCTTCCTCAGCTCCCAAATCCTCTTTGTGTTATAAATGATGAATTACCTAAAATTGTAAATAATGATACAAAATAATATAAATCATATTAAAATTGATTATCTAAAATGGGCAATTATGATACAAAATAATATGAATTATGTTATAAATTATTTAAATTTGTAAATTCTAATACAAAATAATATAAATTATATTAACGATGATGACTCATCTAAAATGGTAGAAAATAACACAAAATAATTGAATTTAAGTTACAAATTATAACTAAATTATCTCAATTATTATAACTTATATAAATTTTTATATTTATATAACATAAATTTATATGTATATAATTATCTCAATTATTATAACTTAGACAAATTTTAATATTTCTATAACATAAATTTATACATATAGATGATGTCCAAAGCCCTGTGTCCAGGTGGGACTGCACTGACCCCCCCCACAACCCACCCATCCCCATGCTGTGTATAAGACCAAACATCACACCTTCTCCTTGCTGGCTCCCCCCAGCTTCACCCATCCATCCCTGTCGCTCACCTCACCCCATAGCCACACACACACAAGCAGCGGAGGCAGGAACCCAGCCTTGTAATATTTAAAACCATTTTATTCATGAAAATATGCTGTACAATGCACTATACACAGTTCTTTACATTGCCACATACACAAACTCTAACAGCACAACCAAGAAAGTTACCATTGCCTACGATAGATGCGTGGTGAGAGATGACGCCTGTCAGAGACCCCCCCCCCAGTCTGTACAGTTATAAATACGAGGGAAAGGACGGAAACTGCTGTATGAAGCCAACCCACTGGGCCCCTTCGGCATCCCCTCGCCTCGGGAAGGGCTGGGAGCACAGGATGCTCCTCGCACCCAAAGGATGGCAGGAGAGAGGGAGCGATGGAGCGGGGAGGTGGGGAAGCTGTGTCCAGAGAGGGAACCCGGAGCCTTGCACATTAAATGAAGCCCTGGTTTCCCATCACCCCATCACCCAGGACCAATCTCCCCCACGGCACCCCCTTTCCATCACCCCCACCTCCCCTCCATCCTGGTACCCACACATCCCCTGGCTCCATGGCAGGACCAGCCCGTGTCGCCTCCCCCCCCCCCCCCCCCCCCCCTTTGCCGGGGGTCCCAGCCCTCGGGGGTGCCCCCCCCCGCCGCCGTCCCTCGCCCCGCACGACGACTGCACACACGACGCTGCACCAACACGACTCCACCGCACACACGACAACCCCACGGTCACGGAACCACAAAGACACCTTCGCAATGGGACGTGCCCCGGGGCAGGGGGAGGCGACAAGGACAAAGGTGGAGAAGGGGGGGGCTTCTTTGCTACTGCTGGTGCGGCTTCCCCTGCACCTATTGGTGACACCCAAAGGGGGGCTTGGGGGTCCCTGTGCCTGAGCATCCCATTGTGTGCTGCTGGATGTGTGCCTACAAGAGCCAGGTCCCCTTCCCTTCCTCCCATGCTTGGGGGGGGGAGCAGAGCCCCCCTTTTTCCTCCCCAGCTGCCCTCCCTGCCTGTCCTTCATGTGCAGAACTGGGGTGCCGGGGATCAAATAGCCATTTGCAGTCGGTTTCCAACCGTGTTAACTATGCCTGACATGAGAGGTGGTGTATAAAAGGAATGTGGTAATGCTCCTGACCCTAAAGAATAATCCTTTTTAAAAAAGCATTCGAGAAAGATTATATATAATAGAATATATTAAATTCTGTACATGATCAAAGAATGTAAACATAATGAATTAACTTGTAAGAGCATCTTTAGAGGCTCTGCCCAGGGCGAAGGGGAGCGCTGGCACATGGGGCTCCTCTCTCCCACCTGTAGGTTAGGAGAGGAGCATGGGTCACTCCGAGCTGTGCTTCCCCTATGGCTCAGTGGGACCCAGTGCCTGCCCCATGGTAGAGGAGGAACAGAGGGAGAGGGGATGAGCTGGACAATGTGCTGGTTCAGTGGAGCATCCCTCGCTGCACACGGGGCAGGGAGTTAGGGCAGCCCATGCTATGCAGAGAGCCCCGTGGGGCAGAGCAGCAGCTCCCACTGCCCCATCTCCTCTGGACCAGCCCGCAGAGCAGTGGGGCTGGTTTGGGCTCCTGACACACCACAGGAGACCACGTGTGGATGGTGGTCCCTGTCCCCATGGTGCAGGGCTGAGCCCTCTTGCTGTCATCCCCCTCAACCCCAGCAGCTCTCCTGGCATCCCAGGGATGAGCAGGAATGATGGACGCTGTCTGGAGTCACTCCTGACACCGGGACTGGCCCCGAGGAGCCCTGTGCCACCTCCCTGAGCACTGTGAGTCACCGCAGGCCTGGCCACCGCATCCCTCTTCCACCCCATCACCCAACACTCAATGCCATGGCCGAGCCAAGATGAGGCGTGCAATGGGGCGCAGCCATCGGCGTTGCCCACGGCCTCTCTCCTCCTCTCCCTTTCTTCCTTCCAATGCAAAAGCTCAATGGCAAAAGAGTGCATGAAATCAAATAAATACACCCCCCTCCCCGACCCTGCAGCTCCCACTGGGGCCCAGCACAGGGGACCCAGCCCAGCAGCACATCCCTCCAGCAGGACCCCCCTGCCCCTTACTCACTGCTTGGAGCCATTGAGGTGGCCTGGGCATGGGGCTTGGCAGAGCTCCGATCTCCACTGGGATCTAGGGGTGAGGACCCCCCCCCATGCCATGGGGCAGGGTCCCTGCTCCTGACACTTGTACTCAGAGGACTCGTTTCTCAAGGGGGCTCAGAGCAAAGGGTCCCTTTCCGAAGGGGGGTTCCCATGCCACCAGCCATCACCGCTCCATCACCCAGCCCAAGCCCAAACCAAACTGGTACCATCCCAGCGGGGCACTGGGACTGTCTGGAAAGGTTTTCCCTTCCTGCTTCCCCCTCCCTGGACCCGCCTGACTCCGGTTGCCTCTCCTGGCTGCCTGCCCCTGCATCCTCCAGAGGATGCTCATGGGAGGACTCAGCAGATTGGGCACATTTTTGGGCTGGGGGCTCAATATTTGACCCTAGGGTTTGTGTTTTGTGTTCGACCTCAAGCTCAGACGGACGGCTCTAAGCCCATCTTCACAAACAAAGGCAGAAGAGAAAAGGAAAAGAAAACCCAAATGAAGTTAGTCTCAAGGTTCCCCTCGTGGCTTCTCGGTGGCAAGCCCCCCACCCTGGGGTGAGCATCACCCAGGCACCCAGCTCTGGTTCGTGGGCTGCGGGCCCCCGGGCAGCGTGGGCACATTGAGCCCGTTCTGCGGCGGGAGAGCCGAGTCGAAGTTGAAGTCCATCTCATCGCTGTCCATAAAGTCATTCAGGATGATGGACTCCACGTCGCACTCCAGGCTCCCGTTGAACATGTCCAGGTCCAGGTCTGCTGGGAACCTGTCTTGGCCCAACACGGGGGGATGGACAGCCCCCGGGTAGGGGCCCTGCAGCGAATCCAGCAAGCTCATGTGTGCCCCTTGGTTATTAGCGTAGGAATGCAGATGCCCGTGGTGCGGCATGGCCGTCATGCTGCACGTGTCACTGGGCAAGCTCATAAGGCTGACAGGATTAGCTAAGGCACTGGTGTTGACCGCAGGGTGGTGACCGGCTGGTGACGGGTGGTACAAAGCATTGCTCTTCATGAGAGAGCCCGAGTGGGACGGGTACGAGGACAAACCCTGCTCCCCGCTCCCGCAGAGCAGCGGGTTGTGTCTGTGGCCACGGGCCGGCACCATGGGGCTGGCCTGCGGCAGGGGCAGGTCCCCCGGGACCATGCTCTCCTTGTGCGCGTAGGAGATGGAGGAGAGCAGGTCCTGCAGCGAGGCGTTCCTGTAGGAGCTGACGGGCGAGAAGGTGGCTTGCTTGTTCTCCTGGATGGTCTGCATGGGCAGGCGCCGCATGAGGCTCATGGCCGGCTGGCTGTAGATGGTCCCGCAGTAGGTGTTGGTGGCAGCACCCATGGTGGAGCACTTGGAGTTGAAGGTGAAACTGGAGCTCCGCTGCCGCAGGGCGGCCGGGGGGAGCTGCTGCGAGGGGCTCATGGTGTATCCATCCTGCAGGTCCTCCAGCATGCTCTCCCCGAGGCTCTCGTTCAGGCTGATGGTGCCGGTCAGGTCGGTGAGCCGGGGCAGCTCCACGGAGCAGCGGGTGTTGAGGGAAGGAGACATGGTGCTGGAGGGGCTGGGGTACATCAGCGGAGAGGAAGGGGTTCCATCATCCTCCTCCAGCTCATCCGGCTCGTGGTTGGACATGATGGGCGAGAGGCGCCCGCTCAGCGTGCTGGCCGTGGAGTTGGCCCGTGTCCTGAAGTCCGCCCAGGCATCGTACTCATCGCTGGCGTGGGACGCGGGGCTCTCCGACCACTTGGCTTGCTGGGATGAAGGACTGTCCTCCCCGCGCTCCTGCGTCACCTGCAGCTGCTTCTTCTTGCTGGCCTTGCCCTTGATGCGCAGGAACTTGCTGTTGTTGTCCATGGAGACCGCCCGCCGGCGCGGCGTCTTCCCGGTCTTGCCGCCCTCCGGGTTCAGCATCCACCAGGAGCTCTTGCCCGTGCCCTCGTTCTGCACGCGGATGAAGCGGGTGTGCAGGGACAGGTTGTGCCGGATGGAGTTCTGCAGGGACAGCAAGGACAGAGGCACGGTCAGCGGCGGCTGCCGAGGCACAGGCGGGAGGGGAATGCCTGCAGGGATGGGGGGTACATGGGGCATCATGGGGGACCTGGGCTCCATCCCCTGGGATGGGTATAGGGGCTCAGGGGGCTCATCTGGTGGGTCTATCCCACAGCACAGCCAGTATTTCACATTCAGGAGCCCACAGGTCATGGACCATAGCTGCATCTACCAGCTACCTATTGTTAGAGACATCGTTGTCATGGCAGGGAGTGAGGGGTCTTTAGTACATGCGCTGAGTCCAGAGGAGGCCATGGAGATGCTGCTCTGCTCTGGAGCCAGGCTGAGAGAGCTGGGCTGGGGCCGCCTGGAGAAGAGAAGGCTCCTGAAGGGGAGACCTTAGAGCAGCTCCAGTGCCTAAAGGGGCTGCAGGAAACCTGGAGAGGGGCTTGGGACAAGGGCCTGTAGGGACAGGCCAAGGGGAATGGCTTGAACCTGCCCGAGGAGAGACTGAGCTGAGCTCTTAGGCAGAAGCTCTTCCCTGTGAGGGTGCTGAGGCGCTGGCACAGGGTGCCCAGAGAAGCTGTGGCTGCCCCATCCCTGGCAGTGCTCAAGGCCAGGTTGGACACAGGGGCTTGGAGCAAGCTGCTCCAGTGGAAGGGGTCCCTGCCCGTGGCAGGGGTTGGAGCTGGATCAACTTAAGGTCCCTTCCAACCCAAACCAGGCTGGGATTGATTCTATGACATCTCTTGCTGCTGAGCTGCAGTTCATGGGATGCCACCCCAGCTCCCCATGCCTCAGTTTCCCTATGGTCTAGAAGGGAAACACAAGCCACAGCACCCAAAGACGAGCATCAGTCCTGGGTGTACAGGGCTCGGGGCTGGTTGGTGACTACTGGAGGGAGCAGGAGGAGCTGAGGGATGGGGAAGGGGAAGAAGCCAAGGTTCTGGGGAGAAAGTTTGGTGCTGCTGGCGGTGTACAGCGGAATACTAATGAAGAGGCGAGTGCGCTCCAGCCTCATCTATCATATTATGCAATGGCTTACTTCTCTGCACTTCATTTATTTGGAGATTGCTCCCAGGCTGGCTCCTCGCCAGCAGCCACCAAATCCAAGTCTACAGAAATCAATCTCGCGCTGACTGATTAAGCCGTGTTTAGAACTAATTGCTCCTTCGTGTGTGGGGAGAATAAATTACGGGCTTTAATTTCACATCTTTAAAATGCAACTGCAGGTATGGGCTGGCCGTTAACCCCTTCCTGCGCTGCTGGGTTGGGGGACAGGGAGCAGCTCATGGAACAGGCCGGGACACACGATGCCCGTGCCGATGCTCAGCGCCTTCAGGTGGGGAGAGCGATCCTTGACTCACCAACACCTCTCCATTGAGCCACAGCACAGCCTAAACTCCATTCTGCACTACCAAACCGTGGGGCACAAGCAGAGCCCATGGCCATCACCTGGTATGGTCCCCATCCCTTCCTGCCCGTGCTCCTTGGGTCTGCTCATCCCAGGATGCAGGTGATGCTGCATCCCAGGATGCAGGTGATGCTGCAGCCCTCCATGGCTGGGACCAAGCTGCTGTGCAGAGCATGGAGGGAGGGAACGGTGTCTGGGGGTTGGGAATGCCATGGCTGGATGGGGATGACATTCATCACGGTGCTTCCTCCCACTCCGCAGCTCCAGCACAGGGCACCCAGCAGCATCCCCCGGCCCCAGGGGGTCAGGCTGCCCGAGGGAGAGGAGCAGGGTGCGCTGCTGCCTCTTGTGCAGCCGAGCTTCATTAAGAGCCAAAAGACAGCAGCAATTAAGAGCAAGGCGCAGTGAGCCCGGCTCTCTCCTCATTAGCACCCCGAGGAGCTCGGCTGGCCATGGCTCAGGGCGCAGGCACAGGGCAATGGGCTGTAAAGGGGCGGGCCAGGAGCTTGTTAACACCAGGCAGGCAGGGACCTGCTTCACCCACCAGCACACCAGCACCCCCACCAGCACCCGGCATCCCACAGCACACAGCATCCCACAGCACACAGCATCCCACAGCACACAGCATCCCACAGCATACAGCATCCTACAGCACCCAGCATCCTACAGCACCCAGCATCCCACAGCACATGGCATCCTACAGCACACAGCATCCCACAGCACACAGCATCCTACAGCACACAGCATCCTACAGCACACAGCATCCCACAGCACACAGCATCCTACAGCACCCAGCATCCCACAGCACACAGCATCCCACAGCACACAGCATCCTACAGCACCCAGCATCCCACAGCACACACAGCATCCCACAGCACACAGCATCCCACAGCACACGGCATCCCACAACACACACAGCATCCTACAGCACACGGCATCCCACAGCACACACAGCATCCCACAGCACACAGCATCCTACAGCACACGGCATCCCACAACACACACAGCATCCTACAGCACACAGCATCCTACAGCACCCAGCATCCCACAGCACCCAGCATCCCACAGCACACAGCATCCTACAGCACCCAGCATCCCACAGCACACACAGCATCCCACAGCACACAGCATCCCACAGCACACGGCATCCCACAACACACACAGCATCCTACAGCACACGGCATCCCACAGCACACACAGCATCCCACAGCACACAGCATCCTACAGCACACGGCATCCCACAACACACACAGCATCCTACAGCACACAGCATCCTACAGCACCCAGCATCCCACAGCACCCAGCATCCCACAGCACACAGCATCCTACAGCACACAGCATCCTACAGCACCCAGCATCCTACAGCACCCAGCATCCTACAGCACACAGCATCCTACAGCACACAGCATCCGCATCCCACAGCACCCAGCACCAAGCTGGCAGGGAGCCATGGATGATCACAGGGCCCAGGATGTGGGGCTCAGCCCCTGGCATGGGGTGATGTGCATGGGACATCAGGTCTTGGCACAACCTCGCTGACAGCAGCTGCCTTGGCAGGGGTCTAGCAGATTATGGCAGGGTGCAGGGGGAGCAGGTACCAGTCCCATGATGCCGTAAGCCCCATACCCAAAGCCTACATCACTTCTCATAGCAACCTGCACCTTCACTGGGTCTCCCTCCATGTCCCCATCTGCCCCCACGTCACCCCTGCCCTGTTCATCGCCCTGCTCCAACATCTCCCACCAAAGCAGAGAGACCCTCCAGCATCCCATCCCCACGCAGCACTGCAGCCCTGTGGTACCCAAGCTGCACAGGACAAGGAGCACCGGTCCCCATTGTGCATCCAGATGGTGCCAAGGGACAACATCCACCACTTTGGGCTCTGCAGAGGGGCAGGGGATGCTCTGGGTAATGGAGACAAGGGCTGGAGATGGCAGCAGGGATCCAAGCCATGGTTAATCCCAATGGAGGATGAGACTGGAGCCCCTGCCAGCCCCTGCTGGAGGCTTTGCCAACCAGGAAGACCTCAAATACCATCCCAGTGCCCATCTGGCAGGGCTGGCCCTGCTGCAGGGCCTGGAATGGGGATGGGGGGGGGCTGCTGAGAGCTGTGGGCACCCACGGAGCCTCCTCACCCCCCCAGGAGCCCTTCTCCACGGTGCCTCATTGTCAGGGGAGCCGGCAGTGTGAAATCGGTCTGATTAGCAATTAGTCCCATTGTAAAAGGATTAGCCGGACCCCATTGTCTGCAGGAGTGACTCGACTATCAATCTGCATCTGGCAGAGGATGAGGATGCTGATGATGCTGCTGCTCCCTGGGAGCTCTCCCTGGTTCCCCTGTCCTCCTGCCCGACAGATGCTGTCTGGTGAGGCTGTGGCCAAGGGGTGCGTGCTGCTGGAGCCCGAGATGGGCATCGATGCCAGGCACAAAGGTGCAGGATCCGAGCACTTTACTAATCCCTGGGGGTCTCTCCTCTGACATTGGGGTGCCCACAAACCTTGGAGTGGAAGGGTGGGATTGACGTGTGTGCCCTGAGGAGAGCATGGGGTTGGGGAAACAAGCATGGTTCAAGCAAGAGGACAAGGGCCTGTAGGGACAGGGCAAAGGGAATGGCTTGAACCTGCCCGAGGGGAGACTGAGCTGAGCTCTTAGGCAGAAGCTCTTCCCTGTGAGGGTGCTGAGGCGCTGGCACAGGGTGCCCAGAGAAGCTGTGGCTGCCCCATCCCTGGCAGTGCTCAAGGCCAGGTTGGACACAGGGGCTTGGAGCAAGCTGCTCCAGTGGAAGGGGTCCCTGCCCGTGGAAGGGTTTGGAGCTGGATGAGCTTTAAGGTCCCTTCCACCCAACCCATGCTGTGGTTCTATGACTGAACACGATGCCTTTGGCGGGTGTCCCCGGTGACTGCGCACCCCTGCACAGCATCCCCCAGGACGCGGCACCACCGAGGCTGTTGCAGCCTCTGCCCCCGGGAACGTTGCCTCCATCGCTGCAATCCTTCCGTGCGCGCAGTAAATCAGCACCAATTAACCCCGGAGCCGCCCGATGCCGCCGGAGCCTCGTTAGCGGCCCTGCCGCTGCTGCCTCCTGGTAACAGCGGGTGAATCTCCCCCAGGTAACGGGCTCATTATCTGCATGGACCAGCAGACACAGCCCCACACACACTGCCCTATGGCCCCCATCAGCCCCATGCAGTCTCGCTGCCCCCCGGGGCCCTGTCTGGCACCTCCCGCTGGGGCAGCCGGGGCTGTGCCCCCCCACACACACACAAGCGCATCCCTCCCGGGTGGCTTCGCTCGGTGCGTTCGGGTCAGCGCACGGCGGGAGCTGAGCCGCTCCGACGGGCCGTTAATTGACCCAGACGCCCATTACCGGCGCGTCGGGCCGGGTCCAGCCCAGCGCAGCGCCCTGCATCCGGCGGCCGACACTGCGGAGCACGGAGCATCTCCGACCAGCGCCCGTGCGCACATCATTAGGAACCGGTAATCCCCCCCCTCGGCGTGCATTGGGGCTAACGGGGGACCCCAAGCTGCAGCCCCACGCACTGCGCACAGCCTTGCCCTGCCCCACAAATCCACGGTGCTGTGGGGCAA